GGACATAGGCTAACGGTTACATGGTCAAAACCTAAGCTAAGCCATTCGGTTAAGTGAAGAGAAGAATTAAATGAATTCCTTCTTCAATTTTCTTTTCATAATGCAGTCACCAGATCCAGATTAAATATGTCTGACCTAGAGGTGTTTATTAATGTTAATTAATTTTAATCAAATAATACATAGGCCTAAGTTATAGCCTACTTAAATTAACGTAATTACCTTTCTAAGTGTGGGCTGTGAGGGTAATATTTACATTAAAATGGCATGCCGGTATAATCAATCAATAAATGTGAATTGTGCTTTTAACTTTGATTTTACAGTGTTTAAACATTGTAGTGCAGATGCAATGTTCCTAATAAAACGTTAAAATAAACTTGAAAAATCATAGTAAATTCAGTTTTTGTGGCAGCAGAAAAATTGGCAAATATTTACCGTACCTACACTGGGATATTATGTAATTTTTATGTCTAATTACAGAATTTTTCACGCTGAATCCAAAAATGCAATCAGTTTTTGTCGGAGATTCCTAAGTAGCCGTAGTGGCCGTAAAACGAAGGTTAAGATTACGAACCTAAGGATAATTGAGCGGTACTGAAGGTAATGGTAATATGGCGTGGTCTGAACGGGTCCGTAGGCCTACTGAGTGAGGAGTGAGGACTGAGTGAGAAGAGCAAACAGCTGTTTATAGGCCTACTTGATCTAATGCGGAATAAAATCAAATCAATTAGTTTTGAAATTTGAAACCAAATAATCAGTTCTTATTTAGGCATGTGTGGAAGGTAGGTCGGGTTTTATGCGGATTCATGACTGTATTAGGTGTTTTGAAGTGAGGTTAGATTAGGTAAGTTAAAGGTTAGGTTATAATGAACCGACTCATTAATTTATAAAAGCTAAGTTACTTCCAGACTGTTTTTGCACAATTAAATAGTGGGTGAAACACAATGAAATATCGATATCAAAAATGCTTCGCATTATAACCTAACCTTTAACTTACCTAATCTAACCTCACTTCAAAGGACTTAATACAGTCACGAATCCGCATAAAGTCCGACCTATCTTCCTCACATGCCTTTTCTGACATAAAATGCAATTTAAACATTAATATTAAGGTTGGGTTTGGTTAGGTCAGATTAGATTAGATTATGTTTAACATCATTTATTAGTTGCTGATACATGAAATTATGCAATGTGGCACGTTCTCACTTTTAGGCACAATGGGATTAACTTAAATGTACTCCCTATGGCATGTTCATTAACAGACGTTGTGGAATGAGGATTGGAATGAGGACGATCATGTCGGCAGTGGCCTAGCTTCTATTACTGATATTTTACGTGAATTAAGATTACATTAATTCTATTTTGTTAATTATAATTTATGTTGATGTGATTACTTAATAGTTTAAGTTATGTATCGTAATGTAGTTGATTTAGGCCTATTGTATTTTCTAAACAGCCCCAAAAAGTCCATTTTCTTTTGAAAATCTAGTTATTGCATAAACTTATTGTAAGTTAACTCATAAACTTATTGTAACTCTGATTTTGCTCTCATGGCGTCATGTGTGGTTTTTTCTGTTTAGTATCGAATGTAAACAACTGACAGCTGTTTTTATTTCTACTCCACAAACCTTCCTCCCCTTTAAGTGTTAGTCGCCACTAGAACTTGGACTCGTCCAAACCACAAATATGTGAATAACTCAAGAGAAGTGAAGCTTGACATTAATTATATAACTGTACGGCCACTTAGGAATCTTTCCAACAAAAACTGATTGCATTTTTGGATTCAGCGTTCAAAATTGTAAGTTAGCCTAAACATCTACAAATTACATCATATACCAGTGTAGATAAGTTACGGTAAATAATTACCGAAAAATTGTCTGCACCATTGTTTTCAAATAGGCCTAGCCTAAAAATCTTATTTCTAATGATATATACCTAACTTACTATAGGCCTAGTACTCTTGGTCACCCTCATCGCAATAATTACCACAAACAATAGTGTAGAGACGGTTTAGGTAGGCCTATCCAACAATATGTTTTTGTCTGGTTGTAACTTAATATCATTCTGGGCTGCTTGTGTTACCTATGCACTGTGGTGCAGTTTCTTGAGACGTTTCATGGGCTAGTTTAATTGAGCGAAGCTCTTATACGTCGACTCTTATGCATTTCGTAATACGCAAACTCCTCCTAGACGGCTGAATCAGTCGTTTTTAAATTTTGCATGGTGATAAAGACCATATCGGCGAGTGCCAACATCTATATGGCGTTAAAAAAGTCTCTCAGGAATCCGCCCCACTGGGTCTCAAAGTTTCAATGTAATCCTTATGGAAGCAGTATTTGACACATAAACAAAGACATATGATCAGCTGTTGACTTTTGAATGCGGTAAATAAAGAAATAGTTGATAGCATTATTCCACAGATATTAGAACAGATGGATCATAAATATAATCAAATGACGACACTAGCTTGAGCTCCGTGACGTAGGAAGTGGTGAAGGAAGTAGTAAAGGTTAGCAGTCTGGAGTGTGGAAACTTTTTATAACGATTAGATTAAGGTATCTGGTATCTGCAATCCTAAAATGCTATTGGAAGGGAAGGAAACAGGTCCGCGACGTAGGAAGTGGTGAAGGAAGTAGTAAAGGCGAAGTGTTCGGGGAGTGGGATCTGTTTATGACGATTAGATTAAGGTATCTGCAATCCAAAAATGCTATGGGAACGGAGGAAAACAGGTCCGCGACGTAGGAAGTGGTGAAGGAAGTAGTCAAGGCGAGCTGTCTGGAGTGTGGAAACTGTTTATGACGATTAGATTAAGGTATCGACAATCCTAAAATGCTATGGGAAGGCAGGAAAACAGGTCCGCGATGTAGGAAGTGGTGAAGGAAGTAGTCAAGGTGAGCCATCCGGAGTGTGGGAACTGTTTGTAACGATTAAAGATTAGGGTATCTGCAATCCTAAAATGCTATGGGAAGGGAGGAAAATAGGTCCACGACGTAGGAAGTGATGAAGGAAGTAGTCTAGACGAGCTGTCCGGAGTGTAGAAACTGTTTATGCCGATTAGTTTAAGGTATGTGCAATCCTAAAATGCTATGGAATGGGAGGGAAAAAGGTCCGTGACGTAAGAGGTAGTGAAGGTAGTAGTAAAGGCAAGCAGTCCGGAGTATGGGAACTTTTATTGACGTTTAGATTAAGGTATCTGCAATTCTAAAATGCTATTCGAAGGGAGGAAAACAGGTCCGCGACGTAGGAAGTGGTGAAGGAAGTATTCAAGGCGAGCTGTCCGGAGTGTCAAAACTGTTTATTACGATTAGATTAAGGTATCGACAATCCTAAAATGCTATGGGAAGGCAGGAAAACAGGTCCGCGATGTAGGAAGTGGTGAAGGAAGTAGTCAAGGTGAGCCATCCAAGGTGTGGGAACTGTTTGTAACGATTAGATTAGGGTATCTGCAATCCTAAAATGCTATGGGAAGGGAGGAAAATAGGTCCGCGACGTAGGAAGTGATGAAGGAAGTAGTCTAGACGAGCTGTCCGGAGTGTAGAAACTGTTTATGCCGATTAGTTTAAGGTATGTGCAATCCTAAAATGCTATGGAATGGGAGGGAAAAAGGTCCGTGACGTAAGAGGTAGTGAAGGTAGTAGTAAAGGCAAGCAGTCCGGAGTATGGGAACTTTTATTGACGATTAGATTAAGGTATCTGCAATTCTAAAATGCTATTGGAAGGGAGGAAAACAGGTCCGCGACGTAGGAAGTGGTGAAGGCAGTCGTCAAGGTGAGCTGTCCGGAGTGTCGAAACTGTTTATTACGATTAGATTAAGGTATCTAGGCTACAATCTTAAATTGCTATGGGCAGAGAGGGAAAAAGGACCGCGACGTAGGAAGAGGTGAAGGAAGTAGTAAGGTGAGCAGTGTGGAATGTGGGAACTGGAAACCGTTTGTATCAGTTAGATTAATGTATCTGCAAAGCTGAAATGCTATGAGAAGGGATGGAAGCATGCCCACGACATAGAAAATGGTGAAAGAAGTTGTAAAGGCTAGCAGTGTGGAGTGTGGGGAATGTTTGTGGCAATTAGATTAACGTATCTAAAATATAAAAATGATATGGAAAGTGATGAAAACAGGTCCACGTCGTAGGAAGAGGATTAGGAAGTAGTAAAGTATGAGCATAGTGTGATAATCGTCTGTGGCAGTTAGATTAATGTATCTTCAATCCTAAAATGCTATGAGAAGGGAAGGAAACAGGCCCCACGACGGAGGAAGTGTTGAAGGAAGAATTTAAGGCTGGCTGTGCAGAGTGGGGGAACCGTTTTGGCAGTTAGATAAATGTATCTGTAATACTTAAATGCTATGAGAAGGGAAGGAAACAGGCCTATGACGTAGGAAATAGTGAAGCAATTAGTAAGGCTAGCAGTGCAGAGTGTGGGAACTGTCTTTGGCAATTACATTAATGTATCTGACATCCTAAAATGCTATGGGAAGAGAGGGAAACAGTTTCACGACGTAGGGGATGGTGAAGGAAGTAGTAAAGGTTAGCAGTGTTGAGTGTGGGAATAGATTAATGTATCTGCAATACTAAAATGCTATGGGAAGAGACTGTATACTGTGTAGGTTAAAATGATTACGAACGAATCTATACATATTTTATAATTCATGCAATCGTTTACAATCGAAATTTACAACTGAGTTGACAACAACTGATTTTTACTCCATAGAGGCTAAAAACGATTTTTACTCCATAGAGGCTAAAAACGATTTTTACTCCCTAGAGAGTAAAAATGCTACTTTCGACCCGCAACGCATGCATTAAAAACGACTGTTTTTACTGCAGTATTACAAACACAATATAATATGAAATCTTGGTGACTCCGCTCAAATTTGTGGATGCCTCTGCGAATGCCACCTAGTTTAAGATAATGTTTAGGACTAACTTAAGGTAAAAATGTAGAAAGTGTTGAAAAAATAGTTATCGACTTTAATGTTCGAACAGTTAAGTTATTGCTTACCTACCTAGACAGTTTCGAGCCAGCAGGAAACCCTGAGCTAACGACCTCGCAGTCAGTAAACATTTTCCGCCTATCTGGTAGCCAAAGCCAATCCAATAATAGTTTAGTCTAAGCTAAGTGCAAACTGCAAACCATTCTTTCATACAATTTTGTGGGCTAGAGAGTAGCGATTAGCGAAATTAAATGCAACAAGGTAGGCTTGATTTGTTTTTCATCATAGCTTTGAAAAATTGAGCTTTGCTTAGTTTGACAAAGAAAAAGAAAAATGTCTTTTTTTCCTCTAGTTTGCTTAGCAGGCTTCGGTTTAATAGACCAGGCAGCCTCGATGTACACTGAGTTGTGGTTGCTTCCAATACATCCTGCAATCAAGGTTATTTGTTAGTTTACAAAAATTTGTTATTGAACATAAATGTGCACAATTAATGTTTCATGTTGCTATTGTACTAGTTTTTGTTATTGTACCAAATTATGTATTAAAGATAGGATTATCTAAAGGTTCAAGGAATTCTTTTAGGATGGTAGAGATAGGTGATTTTCTTTGCCAGGGGCCCATCAGGCATACCTAACTACAGAGGGCCAAGAGGGGAGAAGGGCCACGGATTAAGAAACCCAAGAGTGGACAACATAATTGCGATTCTAATAGTGTTTTGTGTTTCTTTGTTCTTTTAAATTGCTTTTCCTATTCTCTTCAAATAATTGTTCATTTCCTTGTAAATATGATAATTTCCAGATTTCTGGGCTTCTTGTAGGTTGTTTCTATACTTTCTTTTTCTATGTTTCTTTAAGATATTTTTCTCTGAAATAAATATAATTTGGGCAGTCCCACAATAGATGCTGCAATGATTCATCGTCTCCTTGAGCGCATTTCAAGCAAAGTGGGGTAAAGTATATGTTCTTAGAATGGAGATACTTATTCACTCTGGCATGACCTAGTCTAAGTTTGTATATATTCGTTATTTCCATCCTGTTGAGTTTTGATTGTGTGAACCTTGGTTTAGTTTAGTTGGCAATCTTTCCTGTACCTACATTTTTATGCCATAACCCATTAGTGGATTGTAAAATAACATCATTGTATAATTCTCTATGGACTTTCTTTCTAAATTTCTTATAGTCTGAGAAGGGGATGTGTATGTCTGGGAACGCGCCAAGGCGCCACCACGTCAACCCGCCATCAAAAAGAAGAAGAAGTTTGAGGTGGCAGGTTGACGGGGTGGCACGTTGACTCTAGCGTGCACGACAACCCGCCACCTCGGAAAAACGTGTGGTGGTGTGTTGTCGTGGTGGCACGTTGTCCTGGTGGTGCTTAGACGTGTTCATACACGTCAACCAGCCACCTCTTTAGTGTGGTGGCGGGTTGACGTGGTGGCTGGTTGACGTCTACGGGTCGCTGTCAATGCGCCACCACGTCAAACCACCACCTCGGTGTTTTGGTCAGAGGCGTCAACCCGCCACCACAAAAAAACCGAGGTGGTGGGTTGACGTGTACGTACAGGTCAACCCGCCACCTCGACAACAGGCCACCACGACAACCTACCACCACACAATTTTCCGAGGTGGCGGGTTGTCGTACACACTCAAGTCAATGAGCCACCACGACAACATGCCACCACGACAACCCGCCAACACCAGTTTTTATCAGAGGTGGCGGGTTGTCGTGAAGCTCCATGTTCGATGTCAGCAACCTGCCACCTCGTACGTAGGCGACAACGTGCCACCCCGTCAACCCGCCACCACTCTTTTACGAGGTGGAGGGTTGACGTGTACGCTCAGTGTTCGGTGCCGTCAACGCGCCACCTCGCTCATAGGCGACAACGTGCCACCTCGACAACCAACCACCTCGCGGTTGGATTTATCAATAAATAAATCGGTTGGATTTATAGTCTGTAGCATTAAATATATTGTACTTTGATTCAGTTAATTTAGAGAAAGTTAATGTACCTAACTCTTAAATAGCATTTCTGGACATTTTAGTTTAATTTCGGAAGAAAGATTGGTAGGTAATGCAATTATTAACATGGTGAAAACCCGACATTTGAAAGGGTCTCACGCCCTTAAGGGTAGGAACTTTTAAATTCTAAAGCCTTAATGCAAAACTACGAATTAGTCCGAATCCTTTAACACCAACACCTTAAACGTTGAAATTTGTCCACAAATAAGGGAGGAGTAGTGTTCACAAAACGCAGTCCTCGCGTATTAATATGTGTGATAAAAACGTATACCAAAAACAAAAATAGAATAGTTATTTTACTTAATTGCCAGTGAATAAACAATTTTTTTTTCATTAGGCGTATATATATATATATATATATATATATAAGTTTTATGCGCACCTACCACCACGTGCGCACGCAACATACGTGTGAAAAGCATGCATTTTATACATTTAAACCGGCGATAGTCAGGGATAGTCTTGTGCCATTTTATAATGGTGATTGCGAAAGCAAGACGCAAAGAAAATTGTATTCACTTGAATTCAAAAGGTAATTCGGGTGAAATTATCGGTATTATGTAATTAGACCACGAATACTAGAAGAGACCCGGTATGGATTATAAACATAAACAAATGACGGTTTTAAAAAATAGTACAACACCCCATTGCTGTAACAATTATGGTCCAAAAGTTATTTCAGCTTTTGTGATTTTGAACTATATACTATCACCGCTTTCCCATGATATAGGATGTTAACAAGCTTATGGGAGAAAGTATGTTTCAGAATGCTGATACAGTTTATTTTTACATTTATTTTGTCATTTCTAATGTTTGATATTAAGTAATCGTCCGTGATATGAAATAAATTGAATCACGTATATTGACGCTTTCAATTGGCTGAAGGCCACTGGGGCAGAGCCCTGACGGAATTTTAAACGTGTTTAGTTTTATGGCAAATTTACATGTCACGACTTTCCAACGACACCTTAAACTTGATGATCAGATGTGTAACAGTTTCAAAACAATAATCACAACATTTGTGTTGGCCAATTAAATAATGATGATGTCTAAGTAAATGTAAACAATTTTCACAATGTGCAGTATATCGTATCTACATAGGTTAAAATAATATTACTGATTCATTTGAACCTTAATTATGCATCAAGCAGTTTCATTATACGATTGGATACAAATTTGACTTTGGATTATAACCTGAAAAAAGTCAAAGACAAAGTCCTTTATTTTTGTTAACCTGATTTTTGTTTGAAAAAAATGTTTTTTTTCGCAAGATAATGACTTTTGGTACCATTTGCCTCCGTTTAATAACTGATCAACGCTGTTTGGCGAAATAATATTTCATTTGGATGTTAAAAATGTAACTGGCCTAAGCGTTTATTTCAAGTTACGGCCTGATTCATACGTTGAAGTACAGTGCTACTTTAATAATATTACAAATGAATGTTTGTGTGTTTGTTTGGGGTTCCACTCAATAACAATTCATTGGGCACATCGGGATTAGGCTGAAATTTGGCATGATGATAACACTTTCCTGATTAAAATATAGGCTTGTTATTACCTCAAAAATTTTTTCTTTCTTTTTGCCTTTTTGAATATCTCTCGTATGTATTTAGAACAATAGCACAATATGCCTCATTATTAAAAAATCAGGAACGAACCACGAATTATTACTGGGAAAGGTGAACGAAATGCATGTTGTAAAATGTAGACGTGGACACCTGGTGCAAAGTATTTGGCTGATTGTCTTCTATACTATTATAAAAAAGAGGTGGTGTCTGTGTGTGTGTATGGGAAAAGTAAACGCGAAAACTACTGGTCGGATCGGGCTGAAATTTGGCATGATGATAGCTCACATTCCCGATTAACATATAGGCATATTTTTATCCCAAAAATCCTTTCGGGCTCCGCCCCAGTGGCTCTGGAGTTTCCCATGTTAACCTTATGAGAAATGAAATTATTGAATCTTAACAGCTGTTTCAATTAAACAAGTTGGTTCTGTTCTGTGATGTTGAATAGCATTAAAGTTACAAGGATTACCAACAGGGTGCAGCACTAGCACTATTATTTCTTTTACATTTATGACAACAGCAAAAGGTGAGTGAGCGTAGCGAACGAACTTCAACCTGGAGGCGAGTGAGCGTAGCGAACGAGCTAACCTGAAGGCAAGTGAGCGTAGCGAACGAGCTAACCTGAAGGAAAGTGAGCGCAGCGAACGAGCTCCAACCTAAAGGTGAGTGAGCGTAGCGAACGAACTTCAAAAAGAACCGAAATTTCTTAAACCATGTCCTCACTCATAACTGCTATAAGCATTTGATACTTATATGCCAACCCCGTACGAAGGACGGGTACTCTGCTAGTTTGATATAAACAAACAGATAACAGTCAGTACTGGGAACTTTAAAGGAAATATTAGGGAACAGAATACAGGGGTGTCCCGTTAATCCCCTCGCACGTTTCTACGAATGGACTTAATCTGGCATTTCTTAGATTTTTCTTTCACATCAACAGGCTATTCCAGTTATTGAGGTGTCGGGTCACTCAGGTCAGTTCACTTTCCCGTAGTTGCGAGATCGCGATTGTCCTTTAATTTCCAACCTAAATACTGTTTTCATTTCACGTAGTAATCACAAAAGAAAACCAAACTAATATTCTGATGTTGATAAAACTATTCTATTTCGTGTATTAATTTATTTTATTTAGTCGTCGGATGTCTTTTTGAAAGAGTTTTAGACAAAACAATCCAAATCACTGTTTTGAATGATATTGGACACGTTTCTTTAAAATTGTACTAAAACGTCACTTACCAAATACCATAATGTGACGAGATAATACGTTATCTGAAAACAATTGGCGACCTGTTTAGTGTAATCATCTTCCTACCAACTGTCAATTATATCTTTACGTTATAATTTATTTACAATTAGTGAATAAACGGAACTAGCTGCTGTGTCCGTGATTCGCAACGGGAAGATGTCTGAGAAAGAGGAATAAAAACAATTTTGAGTGAACGATCTACGATTTCCGAGTTATCAGTGTTGAAGAGTCTCTTATACAACATAATAGCCTGATTTGGATGTTTCCTGAACGTTTCTTGAATTGTTATGTTGGGTCTTAGGTTGGGTTATCATAAATATGTGTGTAGGACTTTCTTAGTTTCGTTATGAATGGAATGATACCAGATGAGTGATACCATCGCCAAATCACCTCCAAGTAGTCCAAGGTCAGGTCGTTTTTGACCAATGGCCGGAGCGCGCGCATCACCTGTCACCACCTGTATCTTTAGGTATCGTCACTC